CGGAGGAATCCGGGGTAGATGTGGAGGTCGGAGACGGAAGCCGGAACCCGGGAGGGAAGCTTTTGCCAGAAAGGGTTACCTCTTTGTCTGGAAGGACAAGACCAGGACGGCAAATATTACTTATTCTGGAGTCTTGCATTCAAACATCCCGTTTAGAACAGCTGGCAAACCAGGTCAAGGCAGGAAGTGACATGATCTCATGTAGAAAGTAGTCGATGTTGGTCGTTAAAGACAATGATTGTGAAGAGGGCCAGATCATGGAATGCACAGTGGTCCACCGACCAGTCTTGGTAGCCAATCTGGGCCTCTCGAAAGACCTGCGGTCCCTCGATCTCTCAGACTCTTAGTCTTGGTCTTCAGTGTGACCTCCGCAAAAAGCGCTCCAGTCTCCAGCGCTACCCCGGAAGTGCAGTCCCACCCCCGGTCACAAAAGTCTTCCGAGTCATGCCCTCCACGCCTCGGTCTTGCCAAAGGAGGCAGTCTTTAGCATCTTGAGGCTACCAAAAGATGTTGCATCCACGTGGAAAGTGCGGAGAACTGGGGAGGTCTCAAGCTCCCTTGACGAGTGTCCATGGGGAAGCTTGCATTGCATCCTGTATGTGCTTTTTCAATCCAGCATGCTTGGAGTATAAGATGCGTGAAGGTCCCACCACCCTCCGAGATGAGAACAATTCAAAGCAACCTCAACTCGTAGGGGGACATCATCACGCGTTCCGGAATCAACCCAGTCCTGTGCAACCTCGGGCTGCCAACCACAATGGACGCCAAGAACGAGCCGACGGTCCAATATGATGACAAGCAGAGAGCCGACCAGTTTGAAGATGCGAAGGTGGCCGCAACAGCTGCGCTGCCAACATCGCAAGCCAACGAGAAGCTTACTTTCAGCGATCTGTGGGAGAACAAGCGCGTCCTGGGCTTCTGTCAGTTCATCTATCCCTATTGATCCCTGCAAAGAATGATTCGCTAATACGATGTGTGGCGGTGACAGGCTTGATGATCTACCTTTTGCCCATTAACTTTGGTTACGAAGTCTCGACCATCGGAAAGCTCCTCGCTGTAACCCCTTTTGCTCAACGTTTCGGCCACGAAATCAACGGAAAATGGCAAGTTGCCGCTCGGGACCAGCAGATCCTCAATGCCGCGGGCACGATCGGAATCTTCGTCTCGGCATTCGCAACAGGCTTCATTAGCGATATCTTTGGCCGGAAGAAGACCATTGGCCTCGCTTGCTTGATTTGCTGCGGTGGCACGATTCTTCAATACTTTGCTTCAACTATCATGATGCTTTTCGGCGGCAAGGTCGTTGCAACTTTTGGATTCGGTCTAGGTCACTCCTTGGGGCCTGTCTTTGTTGCCGAGCTCGCACCCGTCAAGATGCGTGGTGTTTGCCTGGTTCTTGTCAACACAATGATCACTGTTGGCCAATGGCTCAACTCGGCGACAGTACTGGCAAGCGATCACTATCACAATGACCTTTCTTGGCGAATCCCTTTAATTACGCAACTCATTCCTCCCGGACTGCTCCTTTGCGGTTTGGTATTCTTGCCCGAGTCCCCTAGCTGGCTTCTCATCAAGGGTCGTCGTGAAGAAGCCGCCAAATCATACAAAAGATTCAACGGGCCCAGCTTCGACGTGGATGCCGCGTTGGCGATCGCCACTGTTGCCATTGCCAAAGAGCAAGAGGCCAAAAAGGAACAGGAGTCAGCTCGCTGGGTTGACTGTTTGAAGGGAGTCAACGGCAGGCGCACAGCAATTATTGTGATGGTCTATCTCTCTCAGCAAGCCATTGGTGTGAACTTTGTTTCGGGCTACCTCACGTAAGGCAGCCACTTTTCTCTACAATTCCATGTCGAAGGTCACTAAACAGCTCGCAGATACTACTTTCGCTTGGCTGGAATTAACAATCCGCTTGCAATCGGCCAGGCAGCCTACGCAATTCAGTTCGTCGGCAACATGACTTCCTGGCCACTTGTGGATCGATATGGAAGACGTCCGTTGATCGTGGGCGGCGTATTCACCATGACAGCCCTTTTGCTTCTCATTGGCGGTATCAGCACCATCGGCAACCAAGCCTCACTCACCGCAACGGTCGCTTTCATGGTCATTTGGGGATACTTATATCAGGCAACTTTGGGTGCGGTTGCGTACTCTGTCGGAGGAGAAACTGCCAGGTATGTTTACTTTCAACTCTCAGCTTAAGTTCTTAGACTTTGGATTGGATTCTGCATCGCTGCAAGCCATCAGTCCAGACTTCAGTTCAAGTGGTCTTGGTAGTATTAGCACGTGGTATTGCTCAGGAACATAGGCTTGTGGGCCTTCAACCCTGACTCGTGGATAAGAAGAACAGGGGCATGCCTTGCTGACGAAATGACAAACAGTGTGCAATTGCGACAAAAAACTTACAGCATCAATATCATGTGCTCGACCGCGGCGTCCTGCTTAGTATTGCAGGTGATGCCCTACCTGCTGAATACAGACCAGGCCAACCTGGGCGGTAAGATTTGCTTCATCTTCTTCGGCCTATCGTTGCCCATGTGCGCATGGCTTTACCTGTACTTCCCCGAGATGAAGGGTCGCAACTACGCCGAGATTCAAGAAATGTTTAGCAATCGCGTGCCGGCCCGCAAGTTCAAGTCTTATGTTTGTGAGGTCAGCGCTGGGGGCCAAGAGGAGAAGAAGCTTCAAGACGAAGCATGAAGGGGCGAGCGGTGGATACCGCGAATGTAATCTCTACGGCTACCATAGGCTACAGCAGTGAAAGACAGACCACCTTATCCTGACTTTGCAAAGGGTGTGAAGCGTTCGCGAAAAATCTGGAAGCCATAGGGCTACCGTTAAGAAGCTTAAATGAGGCACACAAACCGTTAATGAGCACACGATGCTCCGTGCAGCCATTGGGTGGCCTGGTCCCCTTGGACTCGCCTTTGCGCATTTCGGTTGGCTCACTGTCGAAACCCGGCCGAAATGACATGGGACTAATGCAGAGGCGATGATTAGCGACGTTTAGGATAAAGCAAAATAACGCAGTGGGCCGGGATCATAATCGGAGATTAGAGTGATCCTGACCGGGACTCCTGCTTGTCAGAGTTCTTTGCTCGAGTCCATGACAATGTTGACATTGTAATCGTTCAGTCTTCCAGGGCGCGTCCACAATTTTCTTTTAAAATCTCCGCTCTCCACGGTCTTCTCCAGATCAGCATTCTTTTTGGGGGCAAAAACGTCTGGCACAGCCTCAGTTGACAGTTGTTGGTCCGTCGATCGCGAACACTTCGCCGTTACACTCATTTACAACTACACTCATTTACCAGCAACCATGTTCTCTCAGCGCCTCTTGTGGCTTGGTGCCACCCTTCTGGCCTCGTGCTCCCAGCTTGCCAGCGCCGAGTTGCCCGCCGACGCCATCGAGCTCGATCTTGTCTTCCCTCGTGGCGATGGCAAATATGCCGAGACCACCAACGGCTACCCTGTCCTCCTCAACGTCCAGAACCCCGACGTCGCGTACAAGTACGGCCACAACTTTGTCTGGGATATCTACTCGAGAAATAAGAACTCGTACATGCGCACCGCCGCCCACGGCATTTTGGGCGCTTCCATCGGAAACGACAGCACCTTTGGCAACGGCCCGCACCTCGAGGTTGGCAAGACCGGTCACCTCGCTGCAGGCGACTACACATTCGCCTGGGTCTTTGGCATGGGCGCCCAATGCGAGTTCACCGAGCAACCCGACTACAGCGAGTTCAACCTGAATCCGCGCATCGCCAACGGTAGCTTTGACTTCACCGTCGAGACCAGCGGTAAGGAGCCGACTTTCACCACTTGCCCGAGCGCTATTGGCAGCATGAGCTACGTTTCCACGACGACATACAACTCCGAGGCCACCAGCGTCTGTGCCGTCACCGCTTCCGTCACCCACGATTCGCAACCCTGCTCCGCTACCGTCAGCAACGACCAAGCTACTAGCGTTTACAGCGAGCTTGGATATGCTCGCGCAACAGGATCTTCCGGAGCCGCATCGCTCAACTCGAACTTGCCCTCGTCTCATTTCGCTCTCATTGCCGGTGTATTCGCAGCGGTTGTAATTCTGGTATAAGCGCGGTAAACGACCTCCGTCGCAGATGCAATTCACAGAGAGACGCGCCAATGATGTTACGAAGAGCGGCAGCTGAAAGCGATGGGCATTACGACCTGCCCGATTAGCAGCCCTATGAACACTTCAATTCTTTGCTCTGCGAGGATGGGGGGCTGAGTAGCCACAGCGCATGCAGGCTGTATCAACAGTACTCCGTACCTTATCAAAGTTTGCTGTGCCGTTCACGTCTGCCTTGGACTGGCCCATCGTGCAGGCGGCACAGTCCTGGTTCCCATCCACGTTGCTACCCCTCGCGGTACAGCACAGCAACCAAAAATAAGCCATAGATCTGCAAAAGGCGCAGTCAGAGATGGATCTGGTCCTCCGGGAGAGGCTTCGGGTGGTCAGGCTTGATGCGGGCAAGGGACCTAAGTGACAAGATACCGCTCCTCGAGAGAGACATTTCCCCAACCACCAACATCTTCGTGCAAGGGTTGAACGGGTTGGTTCAGCCCCCAAAGGCCCAGATCACTTCCTTGCTCGGCGTCACATCCTCCACCATCAATGTCAGCCAATGATGGAGCATGTCGGCTCACGTTAGCATTCAAAAACCTTGAAAAATACAACGGCATTCGTCCCACTCTTCCCAAAGTTCCCATGTAATGTATGTGATATGCGGCATCGCAGTTGGTCCGCACATGTGCATGTAAGCACTGCAGACTTCCAACTCAAGTAGCAGTCACGCTACAATGCCCAGGCTTCAAAAATCTGTCAAGCTTTCTCGGCGTGTTTCCAAGTACTTGAGGCTCCCCGGTCCCAAGCCACCATGCAACTTTCCGTATGTTTGCTTTTGTGCCCGTATTCCTTTATCTTCATGCACTGAGCCTTTCTGACAGCTGCGACCTCGATCGAGACCCGGCAAACAGCAAACATGTCACACAGACAACACTCGCACAATGTGAGCACAAGCTCGGCTGACACGATTTATGTCGAGCAACCGACAAGCCCCTTCATCCCTGGATCTGACAAGAGACAAAGTCTGGGATCGTACAAGGCGTACCAATCAACGTTTGTTTCTGTCGATGACGTCTCTCCCAGCGAGCCTGCTTTGAGCAGCAACGGAGAATCTAGACGCTCTGTTCCCTCACGCTGGAGCAGAATCTCCGAGAAATCACACATCAAGTCCGAAACGTTCTCGCCATCTGGCTCTTGGACTTTTGAGATTGTCAGTCTTTGTGTGACCATCCTTGCCTCAGCCGCCATCATTGGTGTTCTCGCAGCATACGACGGGAAGCCACTAGTGTCATGGCACTTTCAAATCACTATCAACGCCGTTATTGCCCTGTTGGCTACCATTGCAACTGCGACTATGGCCCTCGTCCTTTCCAGTGGCATCTCTCAATTGAAATGGATTCATTTCAAGACTCGCCGCGAGCCGTTGTCGGATATGGAGGTGTTCGATGATGCCAGTCGAGGAACCTGGGGAGCTCTCATGATGCTCATTAAGCTTAGAGGAGGGTAAGTAGGATATGATTGTCAATGGCTTCGACCCACGTAAACACATTCAGCTGATTTGAAGTCCCGTATAGTCTTCTTGGTTCTTTTGGCGCGTTCGTTGCCATCTTGACCCTAGCATTCAGCCCCTTTGCCCAACAAATTGCCACGTTCCACGCACGCACGACCAACACTACAAAAGGAGCCATCAACCTCCGAGCAGAGGAATACTTGATCGCTCTGAGCAGTCAGACTGCATCTGAAGGCTTCATTCCGATTCTTCCTTTCAAGGCGGCCGTGTACAATGGTCTCTTTGCTGAGAACGGTAAGCCCTGGCTGAGCCTCCCTGTCAACTGCCAGACAGGTAACTGTACTTGGGAGCCTTTCGAGACTCTCGGTGTCTGCAACACCTGCGTTGACATGTCTGAGTTCATGACGCGATCATGTGAGGACGGATCGATCCCTGAAGGCGACATGACAGAGTGCGGCTGGTCAGTCCCAGTAGGTGCTCGCCTTAAGACACATGCCGACGTGTTCAGCATGACACCAATCTTCCCTCAAGGTCTTGGAGATTTGTCCTACTCGACCATCATGAAGCTTGTATTTATGGGCACTGAAAGACAAGGGGGTGTCGCTGGTGCCCTTGCACCCTGGGCTCGCCAGTGCACCCTTCAAGCCTGTGTACAAACTCTGGACTCCGAAATCGTCAACGGCGAGCTGAAAGAGACCATTATCCATACCAGCACCAACGATTCCTTCGCCACAGCAACCCAAGACACACTTGAGCCCATTTACATCTCGGGCCAGAGTGGCAATGAGTCCTATCCGATTGACATGAAAGTCATGATGGGCGTACGTTCGTGGTTCTCGGACCTGTTCCAAAATGGGTCGGCCTCGCGTAATGAAGAGGTCATCAACAAGACTATTACGACTCCAGACAATGTTATAGTCAATCTCACCGTCGGTATTTCCAGCGGCGAGACATTCTTTGATACCGACATTGTCCAGGCCTTTTACTGGAACTACTACGAGTACCCAACAGGGATTGATATGCTCATGAACGATCTTGCAACCAGTGTCACCGTCAGTTTCAGGAGCTTTAATGGCACCGATGTTATTGGCATAGCGCACACTGTTGAGAGCTACGTCCATGTCGAGTGGAGTTTTCTAGCGGTTCCGCTCCTCACTGTCTTGTTGACTACTCTTTTCTTGATCGCGGCGATCTACCAGACGTACCGCCAAAAGGCTAGTCTATGGAAGAGCAGTGTACTTGCAACCTTGGTTCACGGTCTAGATGGAAATGCCAGGGAAAGACTCGAGGACCTTGGTGGCTTAAAAGAGCAGCAAAAAGAGGCTAAGTCTGTGAGAGTGCAGCTGGATGACGGTGACGGTGGACTATTGAGGCTATCCAAGTACGATGATATCTGAGTTCCCATCTGAGGTTGATTCTGGGCGATCAAGTTGTCACGGATCTTGGTACTGGGGGGGATTTGTGATCGCCAAGTTTGGTGTATTCGCTTATACGCTCTTTACGACTTTAATGATAATGATAATGGCTAGAGACGTCTTAGGTTCCATCTTGACCGGTGTTGAATAAAGATGAAATCGCTTATGTTGCTAAGCTCTGTTTTTTACAGATGAAAACTCTATATAACCCTTTCCATGGCCATCCATTCCACTCATAGGCAAGTAGTAACTTTTGAATTCTTTAAACGTACTCGGCGCAGATGAGGTCACCTCCAATATCCATTACCTCTCTGATAGTTGCGTTGGGCATAATATCGACCATCCACAGGTTGTGGTTCAAAGTGGTTTCGTTGCCACCGTCGCCAAAATAGTCCGTCAGGGCCGCACTGGGGTACTCCATGCCGTTCTGGGTAAGATAGCTGGTAAGAGGGATGTTGCGGCCTCCCATGTCCGTCAAGCGGGAGCTGTTGACCTGCTGCCACTCCCACCAGAGACGGTCGAGATTGGTGTGGTGCAGGAAGAAGAGCGGCTCGCCAGGGCTGCCAACGACATCGAGCATCTGAAGAGATCGTGTCAGCTTTGATCACACTTACATCGGCGGGGAAGGGGGTTACTAACGGTTCCACCGACTGCAGAGTGGCCCGCGGTGTGAGGGTTGACCTGGTAGCATTCGAAAGCCGCCGTGTAGTTCTCAGAAGCGAAGCACTCATCAATGTACTGCTGCTGTCCGGTCTGAAAGCCGTTTGAGTTGAATGAGCGGGTCAAGCAATCTTCAGCATAGTTGGAGGTGGAGTTGATGTGGAGAGTCAGGTTGACGAAGGGGCCGTCAGTGACACATCCACCGTCGCTGTCACCGCCGAAGCCGGTGTCGGGATCAAATACAACGGAGGTGTTGAGTGAGTCCATGTCCAAGACCTCGTTCCAGTACGGCTGGCCACCCTCGTAGCCACACTCGGACTGGAGGAGATACTCGTGGACACGCATGAAGTAGCGGTGCCAAGGAAGGAAAGATCCCTAAAGATTAAGTATTAGCCAAGCTTTCTCTTGCTACACTGAACTTCATTGTGCATACAGTGTTGTGAATGATGTTGGATTGAGTGATGTGTGCCCAGTCAAGCTCATCCCAGCGGTTGATGGCGCCTTCGATGGAGGTCTTAGCTGCAGTAGACTGGAGGCAGAGCTCGGCATCGATGTAAGCCTTCTTCTCAGTATCGGTCATGTTGTTCCTGTTCTTGGCTTTAGCTCCAGATTCCTTGGTTGAGTTCTAGAAAATTATGAAGTTCTTACCATGCTTTTCTCTGAGACTTGCTCGTGCAAGTGGTGTTCCAGGAAGCGGCGGCTGCCAAGCCTGTGGTCGCGAGGAGCGAGACTAGCGAGCGAAGAGTGACAGTCATTATGGCTGTTGTTCAAAGAGTGAAGAAATCGAAAAGTAAAGACTGGAGTGCGATCCTCGGATTTAGGCTGAGATGCTGAGTGGTGATGAGAAAAAAATGTCGATCATCTCGGCAGCCACCTGGGTTTATAACCTTTTTCTTTCATTCATCAATATCACAAACTCTTTCCTCCATCTTCTCAAGCAGAGCCGCGATGTTAGACATGGGGATGTGAGTGTGCACTGCGCAATCGGCCAATGCGCCTCACTTGGCAGACCGCGTCACCCTTGCTTCGTTCGGACGAACCGTAAATTTTACCCACTTCCCGTCCTGTTTCTCCTATTTTGCGGAGTGACCACCACAACAGCCATGTGGGATGTGCCATTGATGCTTAAAGCTGCCCCTGACTAAGAACCAGAATAGAACTGAGCTCCCCACAGATATTCGTAACGGCCTCCCTTTCTTTTGAATGAGCGGTGCGCAACCCTTGACCGTGGCACCGTGCTGTGAACTCTGGCGAAGGCGATTACGTTGTCTCGGGTTGAGCGGCGCGGCGGCAGTCACATCGTGGGATTAATCCCACAGGGAAGCTCCTACGAGCTCACTCCTGGAGACGTAGACGCATACTTAGCTTGGGGGAAATTGTATCCAGTAGATACCCTGCCTATCATGCACGGCAGTTGAGAGGGCCTAGCTGCCCACTCGCCGCGTCATTCTGGCGCAGTCAACAAGCATGGGCGAGTTATCAGATCAATCTTCGTGGTGACATACATTTGGTCGCCTCCACAATTACCTAAGGCGAAAGACACGACAGCTAGAAGCGCTTCATCTTACCGCAGGGATGATCACTTTGGCACGCAGCTGAAACTCAAAGAGCGACTGAGAGAACATTGTACCAAACAATTGCAAATTCAAGACGACTTCTGGACCAATTGGTAGTTGAATGCCAATGGAGGGGGGATGCGAAGAAAGACAAGCTTCTTATTAGCATCGCCAGGTCTTGGCGCAAAGTTGGTTTACTGAACGCGGCCGGGTCGTCCCTTCTCCCCGGATCAGACAGACATTACTTGCAGTCGTGGGTGCGCTTTGACTACATCAACCACGTTACATTTAGACGACACGTCCTTGTTAATATGAAGAGGCGCATCATCAGGCTGAGTAGGAACTTCAGTGGCTGGGTCGAGAACCGTTCAAGGGCCTGTCGAAACATGGACCTAGCGAGATCGGCCCAGACGCAAACCTGATATGCACATCCGCTAGCTTTTTCTTTCAAAGTGTATGCTGCCGGCCTAAGATGAATACGTCGAGGTTGCTTAGTGGTATCCGGTTGCTGTATGCAATGACCCGTAATATGCGTTCTTCCAATTCATTGTGCACTGGCTGTCTAGAGACTGAGCATGTTTTCCTCAACTTAGGAAATGCCCCTGTCAGGCACTCCACCGCCTAAACACAACTACAATCCGCAGACTTTAGCTATGTTGACTTTGCATACCTATTGCATTCTTTGCAAGGCTAAACAAGAAGAACCAAAGGAAATGCTGGACTGTGATAGTTTGACAATCTTTGAATACGAAAACCACCCCTGTCCAAGGAATGCCGATCGGACTGCGCGTCAGGCCCACCGGCGTCCGGCGGGCGCATTGAGCCAAACGCTATTAGATAAGTATCCGTGGACTTTCTCGTCAAGTGGGAGGCATGCCAAGATGCCAAACCCTCTATTTCCACACATGTGGAATGCCCTATCGACGGGTTTTTCGGTTAACAAAAGTCATCTGTATCCTTGGCCCCTTGGCGAATGTCCGTCCTCACACTTTCAAGTCTGACAAGTTGCGGCCATCTTCGAGGCTGTGCTTAGATCGAGAGTTGTACTATCTCCCTGTCTCGGTTTCCGAAACTAACACCAGCCTCTGGCGAATCAATCCGACATTGGCTCGCCTTCCGCCCGACTATGAAGGTCAAACTTCGGCGACCGCGATTAGCGCGGCAAAGACACTCAAGAAAGTCCACAATGCCTAACGATTGACGACAACAGTCCAACGAGCCATTCTCTCATATAATCACCATTGTCACTCGAGTTGGTCTATCAACACAGTGGTCCTACTTGAGCTCTTGAATTCTGGGCAAAGAGATAAATCTCATAACGCCAGTGACAGGCGAGCAGTTCAGGTACTCGAACGTTGCCTCTCCCTTCTTTAGTACCGAGACCTCATGCCAGGTCCGAAACTTCCTTGACTCTCCCCACGTTTTCGCGTGTTTGATGGCTCCAATGTATATAGCCAGGTGAGAGCGATGCGTTTTGGACCACTCTTCCAATGCACTCAGGTTCGTGAAGAACCCAGCACCGCAGGTCTCCTTCTTGGTATAGCCATCGGCGTCTCTGTTGCCCAAGAATCGCAATCCCATAGCACCACCTTTCTCACGATTTCCCCACAGGTATCCCAAGCCCGCCCTCAAGGTCGGTTCCAGCTCCGTCTCGTATGACTGTGCCTCTTCAACGCAACAGTTTTCCCAAAATTGACCGGATCGGATGTGAACAATATTGTCGTAGTTTGTTCCAATTAAGTGCTGTCCTAGTCCGATCGGGATATCTTCTGGCTTTGACGCCTTCGCATCTCCACCCTGTTCAAAAAGGTCATGAGCGGAGGCCGGAATTCGATCTCTTGCCGCTCCCCAATATGCTGACAGCTGATGCTCTTTTGTACCAGTCTTCGGTAGCCTGGCCAGACCAGGGAGATAGTCGAGTCCAGAGTAATTTGTTTCAAGGCGTGAGATAGGCGTCGTGAAGCTCTCCCTCCATAAACCAACGAGCATTCGGTGTTCTGGCGCGAGTTTGGCGTAAAGAGACGCGATGTCAAGTTTTTGCAGACTTGCTTCTCCTTTTTCAGCATCGTCCCAATAACAGACCCAAACAAATGTGTTCGGGGCGTCATCCCCATCTAAATGGTTGAAGCTCTCGGTTGAAAGCGGTCTATCTTCCGTGTTTGTACTGAGCCATGCCTCAACCGCCTGGACTGCCTGTTTGACGAATGTTGAACTATCAGAAGCGCCGTGATGAGATTGTATACCGATATATGCTGTAAATACTTTCTGTACGTCTTTGCAGAGGGTAAGTTGCCATCGTGGAACCGGCGGCCGATGACGCTCTGGTCGCCGGAGGGGATAAGTTCGCATGTCTGAGGACATTCCCGTTGTCGTGTGATGTCTTGACCGATGTAAAATATCTGAAACATTTGCTCAAGTGGCGGGAAGGTTCAATAAATGTCAAGAGCAGCTCCGTGATGGTGTGAGCATCCGGAATCCAGATTCCAGAACGCAGCTCGACCTCATGGCCGCAGTCCACTGTCAGCAGGCTATTACTAACACTCACTGTCATTGGTGGGAACTCGGAGCTTTTTCTGGCCCCGACGGTTTGGACAAGTCCGCGGGCTCAACAAAGGTGCTCGTGACGCCTGAAGGCGCGCTCTTACGTAAACGGGAAGACCTTCTAGTCATGAGTATCATCTTGGTGAGTACTAGTTAAATATCCAAACTTCCCCAGGCAGAAACAATGCAGTTGCAAGATGAGCGACAGGACTGTCCGTAGCAATCATACGTTTGGCACATTCCGAGGGTAATGTACTTTAGCAACCTAGAGTAACATATTCGTAGCAGGGCAAAGAAGGTACTTAATATGTTCAAGACTTAAGGGAAATACCAAAGATATCAGACCCCCTTTACAGCAGTTTCTCGATAAATGGCGTCCATCTTGAGTTTAATCAGCATACTGATTGGATGTGGTGTTGATTCTCCAAGTATGGAACAGACGGAAAACGAAAGCAGCTGCAGTCCAATGAATAGCAGAGGTCGGCTAAAAGCAAATCTATTACACAAAGATTATGTGTTGAAATCGCCGCAATATGTACAGGTTATAAAGAACATCAAAGAAACTTCCAATCATTACTGCGTAGAGACTTCAGAAGCTTGTTTGTTCAATGCCTACCTACTTTAGGTTTTATACTTGAGTTGCTTGTGGCTCCGGACCACTGCAGTCCTCCTGCAACACTTCGACTCACATAATTATAAACAACAAGGTGTCACCAATCACCAACAATCGAAACTCCCGCTGAAGTATTTCTACCCGATTGCTTTTTAAAGCCATCACCCATAGCTAACCGTAGCAGCCATGTCAGCTACAAGCGCCAAAGGATCCATTCAAAAGCCCACTCGTTCCAGGCCCATCCTGAGGCTCGATATTGCTGCCGCTTTGGGGCTGGGGAAAGTAGGCAAGCCGATCTTGGTCAGGGAATATCAAAGTCCAACATTGACACTAGAATCGGCGAAAAGGGAAGTATCCAAACACCCTCTACCCGAATACCTACCTGACATCGTGGAACAGCAAAATCATTCACGAGAAAGACTTCAACGATCCGGTGACGCGGAGACTCACGACTGTCTTCATTGGGCTTTACAACATACCTACGACAAGCAGCCACGAAACTCATGGGATAGTTGCAGCTGTGTAGGCGGCACTCACGAAATTGACTCGGATTATTTTGAGCCCATGACGGAAGACGAATTTGTTCAGAGACGTGTCAGACTCCACGAGACATACGAAGACCTAGAAGCCTCGACACAAAATCCAGTGAGCACTCAACTTCGTGCTGGAAGTGCAAATGATGAAGTCAGAGAGACTTTAGATATGGACCTCTCTGCTTTTCCTCTTGTACAAAATCGCCTCCAAGAAGTGAATATCACAATCGAAAATCAGAATAACGACCAGTCAATTGAAGATGCAGTTGGGCCAGTGGAACTCTTGGAAGAGTTACAAAATGATCCAGAAGTTGCCGCATCTGTTGTGATGCATGGCCAAGGGAATCAAACAGATGGTGGGACTAACAGTACAGTTGAAGAACCAGAGGTTGGTCGTCGCACTAGATTCCACGAACACTTGGACTCGCTCGATGCACCAGTATTCCGTTTGAGTTTGGCCGGCCTTACTCCTCCTCAGCAGTCGACTCCAATGCTGGAATCCAACTGTGTAATGGGGACAACTTCTTCTGGTAACGATTCCGAGCAAGCTTCCTCTACTTTGCGGCACAAGGGAATATTCATTCCGACTTGGCTATGGTGTGTCTTATGGATCACTCTCATCGGCTTTCTGATAGGTTTCTCCATCATGATGAGCTTGTTCGTTGCTTTGAGACATGAGGGCAAGCTTCATGCCGGAAAGATTTCTCGTTGCAGAACTCTCCAGCCATGCGTGTGCAATATTTCTCCTTCGCCATTCAATGGTGCGCATGGCATGGATGAAAGCATGCTGAACGATGACAGGCCTGAATGAAGTGCGACTAGAAACTTGAGCTTAGGAGCGTCACCATTCGTCGCATGTTTGAAATACAACCTGGAGTTTCCCTGAATAGCCTGAAGGTCTCAATATCACGCATAAACCTCGCAACTTCATCATACAAGTGATGTCGTTGGAGGAAACATTGAGCAGTAAATACAACTTCCTCAAAGACCTCCTGGCTCAATTTTCCCTTGGAACTGTATGCCTGCACTTGATCTTTCCGATACGGCTTTAGTATCTATAAAAACCTGTGGTTCGAGCCACACTGTGACTGGACCTTCCTTGACTTGCTTTCCTCCTGCTCTATCTGGCTCTTTCTACTATCGTATATAAGGCTCGGAACCGTGAGCACTGTCGTGAAAGACGAATAGGTTAATTAACTAAAAGGGCACAATACGAAACAAGCAGAGTTCATCTCATCGGCCGAGAGCTTCCGCCCTATCAAACCCCAGGCTTTACAGAAAGGTTGCATAATTAAGCTCAAGCCCTCGGCTGTCGGTTTCTGAATGAATTGACGAATTCAGACGAAACATGGTTTGGGAACGTTCATCAGCGTTTCATGCCGTTTCATGGCATATACAGTCAGCAATTAAAGACGTGGTAATCATTCGAAGACGTTGAGGCAACGAATTCTTGGCGACTTCACGACGGCATTCAATAAATAGTGACGGTGTCCCTTGAGGCTGCAAAAAAAAGGTCCTTATACCACCTGCTACAATACCCTCCAATCATTTGCAAGATCCAGCATAGAGCTAACATGCTGCCCGTAAGATTTCACGAATTTCCCGCATCTACTTCGCATGGTTCGGAATAATTGCTGATTCCAGTCGATGAAGATTTTGCTTCTGAGCTTCTCCGGCCTTGTCAGCGCCTGCGGGCTTTCCCGACGAGACTCCCTCGTTTCCTTTCCGCCTCTAGGGTATGTTGGAGCAAGTCTCGCATAAGTTCAATCACCTGACAGATGACAAGTATCGTTGGAAGAGCCAGAGGAGGAGATCCGTTACAGAGTCTCCGCATTCTGAATCCCTATCCGGGCATATTTGCTTATTATGATGGGCGTACTGGAGAGCGTTTCGCTTCCGACCAGCCCAATTGGCTCGATGATGGCGCGTTCACGCTGGGAGTATCGTCATATTCCATCATCGACGGCAACGAGGCCATCATATACGACTCTCACATTACTCCCGACCATGCAGGTGCTGTAATGCGTCATGTTCAGAGCCAAGGTGTCACCAAGATGTCGGTGGTGATCAGTCACTTTCACAATGATCACATTGCTGGCACTGAAGTTTTCTCCAAAGGGGGAGCCACAATTGTCGGACATGAAATCACGGCCCGGACAGTGAAGAGGAATACGCAGGACCTTGCTTCTGATAGCCCAGCCATTGTTGCTGTGCCCCCTACGGAGCTCTACACTGGGAAGAAGGAGATGAAGGTGGGCAACCTCTCTGTTGAGTTGCACAATTTCCAAATTCACACTCCTGATGGAACTATTCTTTACATCCCTTCGAAGCAGCTGATCTTCGCCGGTGATACTGTGGAGGATACGGCGACCTTCATCGCTGATGCCAAGAGCTTGCCGATGCATCAGATGGAGCTTCAACGAATGGCGACTTTCCCTATCTCGAAGATCCTGCCTGCACATGGAGAGCCAAACAGGATTGCCATAGGTGGCTACAACTCAACTTTCATCAATGCAACACTTCGGTACATTGCTGCGATGACAGAGGATGTGCCGGAGCCAGCAGCTTGGAACCAACCTTTGTCTCAGGTTGTTGATGCAGACGTCAAAGGCGGGGACTTGATATACTTCGCGCAATACGAGGAAGTGCATCAGAGTAACGCAGATACCATTCGGAGAAGCCGCGGGAGGGGCAAAAATAACTGATGCGACTTAGTAAGGAATAAACTAAAGCATTGTGGTATTTTGAAGTCGGGATTTGCGAGCATGTGGGACTACCCGAGCGAAAACAAAGGGCCCAATTTTGGTTTCAATTTGCTGGAAGATTTTGCATTGAATGGACCCCGGCGTGCTGAGAGAGTACAAGAAGGATGTTCTATTCTGGAGTTACTTTTCTTTTAATTGAGGGAAGAATGATACTTGAAATTAGTGAGATTGGGTGAGATACTGACAGCTGCTCATTAAGACACTTACTTCTATGCGGATGAGACTGTCTCCTACTGTAATTGAGTGTGTGCCAGTGTAGAGATCTAGAGTTTTGGCTCCTCCGCACATCTCATTGTTTGCTTTAAGGCTATGTTCGTGTCTGTTGTACGTCTCTAATTGCCGTGGCGTTTTCAGAAAAGTCGGGGGTCTTACAATTGTAGGTGAGCAACCATAGTCCTCCGTCCATTACTTCATAAAAGTTGAAACTCAATGGCGTTGAGCGTCGATTCCGCAACAAATCTACATTAAGACTAGACGTGTTCAATCGGCAGCCCTCATATCGGTTCCCCCACTCTTGAAGTCGGAGAAGTTCCAAAGACCTTGCGCCTCCGATGCATCCCCCTCATTCTGTCGTACACTCTTTATCTCCGGATCCTCGACTCCATCGAGGTAGACGCTGAGATAACGCCCACTTATGCAACTACAGGGACATGTAACCAATTGTGGCATCATCCTACCTGATAGACAATGTCTCACCGAGGTACGTCAGCTATTTCTTACAAGGTCTCTGGCCTGTCTCACCATAGAAATCTCTCAGCACAGCGGCACTATCATTTTTTTCATCGCGGAACGGAACTCTAATCCCTGGCGGAACGTGTGACCTGTAATGTTCCGCAAGACGAATGTGTGACGTCGATGGTGAAGGCGAGGGGTAAATTGGCGCTACCACTAACAAAACAAGAAGTATCCCAACAGCACCATTCCAGGGCGCGTGCTACCTCCTCATACGGACCAGTACAAAAGGCCAGTGAGTCGTACCCTTTTGCTTAGCCTTGGCTGTAAGCTCGTACTGCCCGGGGACCTGAAGAGACTTTCTGACTCGGCTTCTTGTCTACAATCAGCCGACCAGAACCGAGACCGAGAACCCCGAACCAACTACCGGCCCCTCATTCACCATGCCGTCAATTCGCAATACTGCCTCCGATGTCCCGGACATGAACCTCTACAAGCTCAACCGGGTTCACCGCACGCTTGACAAATTAAAGGAGAAGAACGAATGGGAGGCAGAAGACACAAAGTCCTTTGACTGCATGCACTACCTGGGCGATAGTGCGATCGAAACGGCTGCCAAGTCTTTGGGCCTGCAAGCCGGGGAGCGGGTGCTCGATATCGGATCCGGGTTCGGTGGCACGGGCAGATACCTCTACCGACACTTCGATGCTACGACAGCTGGCATTGAGCTGCAAAAGGAGATTCACGACATTGCTCAGACAATTAACGCAAAATCGGGTGCTGAGGCAAATGCGACATCCACTAACGGCAACTTCCTCAAACTCGACCCAGCTGAAATGGGTGCGCCGTTTGACCACATCGTCTCATTCCTGTGCATCCTGCATATCCCAGAACGAGAAGCCCTGTTCAAGAAAGCACACAGCGTCCTCAAGCCAAGAGGCAAGATGTACATTGAAGACTTCTTTGCCCGAACATCTCTGGACGCCAAGACTCTCGAGGTCTTGAGAAGCTCGGTTTCCTGTCCGGACTTGCCTGACAAAGAGCATTACATTGCAGAGCTCGAGAAAGCTGGGTTCGAGGTCACTGACTGGGTTGATATGTCAACCATCTGGACAGACTTCGTGCATGAGCGTGCTGAAGCCTACAAGAAAGATCCGTCGATAGATGCTGATCTCACCGCATTCTATGATGCCGTTGATGAAGTGTTCTCTGGAGGCCAGGTCGGAGGCACCCGAATTACATGTCAAAGAAAGTAAATGCATCGGTTGCCTGTCTCTATTTTCTACCTTGTTGTGAAAGCTTGTTTATCACAGCTCTGCATAGGGAGATGGTGTTGTTACGGCTTGGACATAATCATGCGGACTATGTCTGCGTGATGTGGGCGTCAGTCTCTGACAGATGCATACAGTCTGGCATCTCATCATGCTTTGGAATTAAATTCTGAAACGTAGCCACGGAGAATTGACTTACACTGGTCAAAAGTGCGGTAGTTTTCTCGCGATAATCCATGCTGCAATTAATCCTCGGTTTCTCCGTTGGGCACCATTACTTAACCTTGGGTCATGAAAGATAATCCGATATTCCGAGAGTGTGCACACATTGGCGCAAGAGACAGCTAGGTCTTCGGCGCCGGGAAATACTTACGTGCCACCCAACCGCAATCCACGCTCCCCGCGGACAATCTTAGTAAATAAGACCCGAGCTTCCTCTTACTTCAAGTGAAGAGCTTCTCGACTCTATCCGTACGTGATTCTTGTTGCAGAGTAGAGCGTCGGCGCAATGTCCAGAATAACTTTAAACTTTACTCAGACACAACAGGCTACTTCCCTCTCCTGTGAACACTCGGTATCCAAAGACACTGCACGCAACATGGGATGACTGGCGAGAACCTCGTGGCTCGGCCAGGGACACTGACACGGCTGCTGTGGGATTTCTTAATAAGGGGCACCCGTACTGCTCGGCATTGTGACAGACACAACTCACACACGCAGCCCACACCCACCCACCTTTTGACACTTTGCGTTCCCCGGAGCTATCCAGGGAGCAGAGTTTGGGTAGCGGTCTCAACTGCACGAATCAGGCAAGTTTCCGGACGGGGAACAGTGCCCTAAAATGGCAAAATAAGAGTACACCGCTAATGACTGTACAGTGTTTCCGTTTAGCAGCGGCGTAGAACCGATAGCGAGCTCTTTTTTTTTTTTTTTTTTCTATCGGCTAGTTTGCGTTTGGGCCACCTCTTTCCGGGGACTTAAGGCAGAAACAATTTAGGAAACATACAACCTCGCAGGAATGCAAAGCGTATTGAAGCTTTCTACACACGTCCCATCCCAGCGAGTTTTCGGTATCGGTCCGAGTTTTCGTAAAACCTGCCATACTATACGAATTTCTGTAAAAGCACTCTGCCATGCGTAGAGTTCGCACTCTGTAGTGATCAGCGTCTGTGTCATGTCAGCTATTAGTGATTACTGAGGAAGGTGATCCTTTACTCGCGCGCCCCTCTTAATGAGAACTTGGCATCACCCGCCCCTCGGTTGGCCAGGGCGAATTTTGATGGAGATTAGTGATCTACGCCTAGTGAGACAGGGATTCAAGTTTGGGACTTTGGAGCCCCGTCTATGGTCGGAGTGCTCCGCCATGCCATGGCCGATTCAAGAAGCGTTCGGCGATGATGTGGACGACGGGTGAAGTCTATGATGGGATTTGCGAGGTTCCACCTCTCAACTGCCGTTTCATCAATTTGCTGATGAGAAGTGTAATCAGCTTATATGAGAAGCTATAGTGTAGGCCAGGTGTTTCAACACAACTCTACGTCTACGATATCAAATCAGGCCCCAGTATCCGTACTGATACGACAGTCTCAATCTGGTACCTACCAAGACAGGCAGGCTCAAACATCTAGATAGTCATCAACGTTCCTGTATGGTGCACAAGAGGCGTAGAACTCGCTAAGCATACGCTCTCACTGACTCAGACTCGCATGATGCGCAACTTGACAGGCCGATAGTGCGGCTGTAGGTATCGATGGCGCAATGCAGGCTGAGAAGGAGACGGCAAATCAGAGCATCCTTCCATCCCAAGCTAGCAATAGCTTGTATTCCCGTATAGCCTATTGCTTTGCCGCCTGGCGGTAGGAATGAGGCACATGAGCTGCTATGAATGCGAAAGTGTGGCGGGCATCCTTCCCATTACTGATTACATGCGTGGCGGGCTGGGATTGGGCGCAAATGGGTATAGTGTTTGTAAGACTTGGCCCTGCAATTGATACACTGACGTTTATGTGTTCGTATGGATACTTAGGTAAAGATGCCGAGACGTGAAATGAACCAAAAGCTTGATTGGCCTGGCGGTGATAATAAGAAGAATGCCCTACGGAGTAGATGGTCGACCTACGGATTACCTCTCCCGAGGTAGGGGCGTACGGTCTCATTAGTCATTCTGTGCCTCCAGCACCCATTCCAGAAGGTTGTTAGTGTTACAGGTAGCATAAAAACAATATGGGTTGTGGAGACCGAATTCCGTCGTTCGGCTGTGTGTGCGTGTGTGTGACCTTGCGTTGGACAGGGCGTTAGAGAAATGCTAGAGCCTAGAGGGGACTGGTTCGCCCCAAACTTGTACAGTAGAGGCACGGGTCCCTTCAAAGTTACAGAGTTGTTCGCTTTCGCAAAAAAAGATCCTTGATTGGGCCCCATATTGTGGGATACCGATATTGAAGGGGATGCCATTCTCGGATTTGTACGACATTACGAAGTCTCGGCTACTATGGAGGGGTCCTTCCTTGCGGCCGATGAACTGCAGGAGGCCGGGCTGTCCGGACTTTCATTCCTCCACCTTTGGTTGCTTTCTGCCTCCGTGATTTCTGTCATGCTTGACTATGGATGTGTAATCCATGATGTGAATGGCGTCATTTGAGTCAAGCTCTGCATGCCAGTTGTACTATTGGGGGGAATGTACGGATACGCCTCAGGGATACACGTATCTCGGTAGGTATGCACGGCTCACTCAGGTCTCAGGAACGCAAATCCAAACCACAGCCACCGATTGTTGTAGTTTGATGTCTGACAGGACCTCTACGGTCACACGGATTCCGAATACCGAACGCTCGTTGGCTGCATTGAATAGAGGCACTGCGGAGCGCGCACACTCTATCACCTAGTTGCATGAATAATGGCGGGTGCGTAAGGGTATATCGGACTGACCGTCCGCAGTAGATATTAGAGTTGCACCAGATTGTGATTGAGTCACAGAAATAGACAAGAGGGCGGATAACGGGGGAGCAATATGGTTCAGCTGGACGAAGTTGCACTGGGTTGCGCAGAGTTTTGCTACGAATACCGAGCCAGGTAGGTAGGTATCGGTATCGTGAGGCGGCTTTGAGGAGGCATGGAAAGGCTAAAGTAATGACCTGTCAAGAGAGAGTTTATGACTGTGCGGAACGGGTTATGTAGCTTAAGGACCAATAAGTAATCATTGAGACGGACAATGGGGCGCCGGAAGCAGTTTAATGTTTGAGAAGGGCTAACAATTTACGATGCAGGCAAACGGGCTACGGGAGTAAGTTGGACAGTTGGACAGATTGGGAGGATGTGTGCGTGCCTGAAGCTTGGTTTTGAGTGGTGGTGGATCGTGGAAATAGTTTCTTCATTCGGTAAGGACGTCAACAAGCATTGCAAGCATTCTGTGTTAGTTTGGTTGGTTGGGCGTTTGCGCCACCGGTGCGCCTGTGAGGTGAGTGCGCATTCAGTCCGACGCCAAGAAGGGGCCCGCAAGTATCAGTTGATTTTGCCCATGTTCCTCTGTGTGTGTGTTCGGCTCACAATCGAGGGTGAACGGCGCCGGGGGGGGGGGGGGGCAGAAGGTCATAATATCAGGTGGTACGTATGTACTCCGTATGGCTAGAGAGGAAGCCAAAAAGTCAAATTACGCTCTACTGTGATAAGATAGCCGTGGAAAGGAAAAGCACGGCGACGGGTCCGTGGTATAGATCTCTACGGCAGCCGGCAGCGCATGGTTTGGTCCATGGTGCGTGCATACATTTCCGGGAAAGGGGGGTTCAAGTTGTAATTGGATCCACGGACAAGATCCCACGCGGGCCGCGGACACGGCGAGCGAGCGGTTTCGAGTGGGATAAATTATAAAAAGGCATGTTTTGAGTTGGACTACGCGGAATTATGGTCCGTCTTGGAATAGCGGCATCATCTAAGAATTTGAATCCGCAACTCTCTCGACTGAACTGCAACATGGACGAGGGAGTGGTTGGCAGGTGTCGGGTGTGTGCCACCGCCTAGTGCGTGCGCTGTACGAATATTTTGTACCACGGTTCGTGTTAACATAGCTACGGAGTACCTAGAGGCTAGATGAAAGACAAGCCGAGGGTGAAAACGTGTACTTTGTATGAAGTAGTAAGGTACGCGGATCTCGGGAACTACCCAGAGGAATAAGGTAAGCTGTACTCCGTAAGCGGGCGGGAAACAAGGTGCAAGCAAGCCAATGTTCGACGGCCCTGATCACGATGCCGATCGACCTAACGTCTCCCGGCCTTTACAGGCTGATCCAATGTCCCGGTGAAAGTGCAAATGCGCCAGGAAAGTAATAGTTTGGCAGGGGGTCCGTGATGAGTCGCGTGGGACGCCGGGCGAAAATTACCAAAAATGCTCAATGGTAGACCAATGAAAGACGCTATTATGGACTGTATGACGGCGCGATATACCCATGCCCTGCCTTGCAAGTGGTGCCAAGTCACGGGTCCAGTTAGGCTGTAGAGTACGCGGAGATACGGAGTACTAGCCAGTGAGGGTCTGATTGAGTCTGAATTACGTTCTGTCAGACCGGTGGGAGAGTCATGCCCAGACTTTGCCATGCAGTCTTTTAGTCCAATGTGTTTGAGAAGAGTCGGAAAAAGATGGGTGAGGTGGCTGCGCATCGATCCGAGGCTTCGGCTTCCTCGTAAAGCCGGTTAGGTTAAGAGCGGCGGTGATGTACGTTCTCACACTCGTGTGATGAGATGAGATGAGGTGAAGTGAGGTGAGATGAGATAAGGAGGAGGTGAGCACTGAGCAGTGCAAGTGAGCGACTAGGGTGGTCATTCATATAGCATGGCACGCATGGCAAGCCGCAAGGCCAGGGTACGAATACTTACTGGTGACGGTGATGGTCAATGGTAAGCTGGTAAAGTACGGACAACGGAGTATCCGTAATACACCAACTACATAATCATGGGAGCATGGCGGCCATTGGCCATAGCCTGCCAGGGGCGCGG